TAAAGGCTGCAGGCCTGACCCGCCCAGAAGCCTGGGTTCCACCCCACTCCCCTGGGGGTGGGTGGCTAAATGCCTGGGTTTCCCCACCCTGGGGATGGAGGGCCAGACGCCTGGGTTCTTCTTCCCGTCCTAGAGGGAAGCCTGGACTCCTGGATTCCAGGTCCCAGCTTTGGTCTGGTGGGGTCGGCTGGTAGGGCCGAGAGCCCGGACGCCTGGGTTCCAGTTCTGGTGGGGTGGGGTTGGCTGGAAGCCTGGGCACCTGGGTTCATCTTCCCGCTCTTGTTCAGCCAAGGCAAGCCAGGATGCTTGGGTTTTCCCCCAGCTCTAGGAAGGGGAGTGAAAGCAGGGGGGTAGATGGGCAGAGCTGAGAGCCCGGACGCCTGGGTTCCACTTTCCCTCTGTGTTTGGCAGAGGGGAAGCCAGCACCTGGGTTCTCTCCCGGCTCTGACAGATGATGGGAGCCCAGGCATGGCAGGGACGGCACCAGGACTCTTGGGTTATCCGGATCCAAAGGAGGCAGGACCCCCTCCGGCTCTGACAGGACTCTAGGGTCCTCTCCCTGGCTCTGGGAAGGGTGTGGAGCTGGCTGGGGGACAGGGCCAGGAGCCAGGACGCCTGGGTTCTCTGGGCCAGGCCAGCCTTGCGTCAGCTGCCCAGAAACGGTCTCAGCCCTGTGACTTCATCGTCAGCCCATCCACGTCTGGCCGCCCCCGCACCATGGCTGGGGCAGGAAAGGCTGCAGCTGGCTCTGGGGTGGAGGACAGGGAACAGGGACCAGGGAGGTGACTGGTTCTTGGGTGGGCAGGCAGGGACCAGATGTAATGGGGACCAGGAGAGGCAGCTGGCTCTGGGGTGGGGGATTGGGGCTGGGTAGAACAGGGCCCCTGAGATGTGTCTGGCTCTGGGGTGGAGCAGATGGAACAGGGCTCCCCAAGAGGCGGCTGGCTCTGGGGTGAGGTGTCAGGGTGGTACAACAGGGCCCCTGTGGAGCAGCTGGCTCTGGGGTGGAGCATCAGGGCGGGGTATAACAGGGCCCCCCAGATGCAGCTGGTTCTGGGGTGGGGTGTCAAGAACTAAGCATAACAAGATGCTGATATGCAGCTGGCTCGGGGGTGGAGCAGATGGAACAGTGACCTTGAGATGCAGCTGACTCTGGGGTGGGGCCCGGGGGCTGGGTAGAACAGGGACTCCTTCCCTGCCTTTAAGATGCAACTGACTTTGGGGTGAGGTGTCAGGGCTGGGTATAACAGGGGTGCCAAGATGAGTGGCTCTGGGGTGGGTCATCGGGGTTGGGTATAACAGGGACCCTGAGGCACTGGGGCTGTATATAACAGGGTTCCCTTCCCTGACTTTAGGATGCAGCTTATTCTAGGGTGAGGTATCAAGGTTGGATATAACAGGGCCCCTGAGATGCAGCTGGCTCTGGGGTGGAGTAGATTGAACAGTGAACCCCCCCCCTCCCCCCCGAGGTGGCTGGTTCTGGGTTGAGGCATCAGGGTGGTATAACAGGGTCCCCGAGATATAGCTGACTCTAGGACCCCAACATGCAGCTGGCTCTGAGGCGGAGCATTGGGGCTGGGTACAACAGGGTCGCTGAAATGCAGCTAGCTCTGGGGTGAAACATATGGAACAGGGACCCCAACATGGAGCTGGCTCTGGGGTGGGTCTTAGGACTGGATATAATGGGGATGTTATAACATGGGTGGAGCCCAGCAAGCAGCTCTTTCCCACCCCCCACGATGATGTGACTGCTTCTGGGGATGTGATCTCTGGCTAGTGACCCCTGGTAACACCCAGTTCCTCCCTCCAGGGCCACGTCCCCTGCCCCCACCATCAGGAACCCTAGGACTCCCACATTTAATTTATTTCTCTGTAATATTAACAAGCTATTTAATAAGGGGGGTATTTTATAAAGAGCAAATAAAGGTTATTTTTTGCAACACCCTGGTCCTCAGCTCTGGCCTGGGGGTAGAGCGGCTCTGGGGCGGGCCAGGCTGGGTATAATGGCACGGG